AGCCACGTTTTTTGGTGCTGCTGAGTCCTTCTATTCTAAGAGCCAGAATTCAGGCTGCATGTCTAAGCATAATAAAAGGATTGTTTTCTTTTCAGGAGCAACCTTACTGTTTTGCCCACAAAATAGGATGCAGGTTTTTTTTTCCATTTTCTAAATCTGTATTCTTGCTCGTGCGGTTAGCATGCACTGTCCCAGTCAAAGGGATGGGTACAGGTGAATTAAGATTAGAAACCTTTCCATTTATGGCACATAGGTCAGCTTTTATGCTTGCTTTTTTTGACTGTTATTTTTACCATGTCTGAGACGGCCTGTGGTAAATACCCTGATTTTGTTTACCACTAAGATGAGAGGAACCTCATACTCCTTAACCAAAAACATCGTCCCCCCCCCAACCCAGCCTGAGGCTGGGGAACAAAGACGCAGTTGTTCTCATAACATGGAGCCACTGCAGCGAGACAGGAAACCTGAGAATGACTACAGGCTTTGTGTGGCCGTAGATAAACAGGCTGGCTGCCCGCTTTGGTGCCCAATGCCCGCTTGTCCAGCCTGTGAGCAGCCATGGTCCAACAGCAGGAGCCACCAGTGGGACTACTGGGGCTTGTCAGACTCTAGTTTTGGCAAGACCAGATATTCACAGTCCGATGCTGTTGCTACATACTGTAAGACGGCACTGACATCTATTGAAGGTCAACGCAGCTTTGAAAGAACATTGCTGAAATAATGGCATTACTACAGGGCATTGATCACTGTTACTATGATGCTGATTAGGATTTTATATTTATAAGGTTCTCAGTTTAAGGTTTTTGTAATTATATAACATGCTATTATGGGGAAGATAGGGTTCAATATATAAGTATGACTTTAAGAATTTATTACAGGAATAGTTTTTACTGCATTCTTTACACGATGTTAAAGTTACTGCAAAGTAAATAAGGTTTCATAATTGTTGCATAAAGTTAAGCATGCTTATAATGACAGCCTTATAATGGGTCCTTATTATGGGACAGACAGTAATGTTATCAAAAGCCTGGTGTTCCTCATGTTTCTGTGTGATCAGTAGTACGTTTCAAACATCAGCACACAAGAGGGATTAAGGTGGGGATTTAGGTGATGGATCTCCTCTCCCACTTCTTGGTTTAATGACGATTCAATACAAACTGCAGTATGTTACATCTTACAATGTTTACATTTCCAGTGATTGGAGGGGGGGGGAGCAAGAAGAAATTTACTGTAACCCCTCATGAGAGCCATCAGCAGGACATCACCGTGCTCACACACTCCGCCACAAAAAAGCTGCACAGCCTCAAAAAGCTAGAGACACACTCAGATGTACAATTGCAAACAAGCATTAATCCTCTCACACAGACACAGATGGCTGAACGTCCCTGGAGATACGGGAGGTGGTGTTTGTTGTGAGGCTTAGAGAACTGGAGCCAGTCCTAATCCCAGGCTCAGCTCAGTCTGTAAATGCAGGATTGCTGCCCCCTCCTGTACTGCCACGTGGTATGTTCCAGCCCCCCATGCCAGACACCAGCAGGATTTAGTCTGCCAGTGCAGCGTGCGGACTGAGTGGGGGCAGGGGAAGCTGCACTGGGTCACACGTGAACCAAATGGGTTAGGGACCTTGTGCGGCTGCTCCCCGCTGTGAGAGGCAGAGATGGATGACACATTTTCCAAGCTGGGGTGGGCTGCCTTGCCAGTTACTGAGTGTGCTGAGACCAGTGGTGCAAAACTAGCCTGCCTCACTTTTCCCTCTTGATAAGGTTGCTACCGTAGTTGTTGCTAGGGTTTGGGCAATTCCCCTGTGAGCAATAATGTGTGTCTGTTAATTGCCTTCAGTTTTATTCCTTGTCTATAAGGGCTTATTTTGCAGATGTGCAAGAATATATGCTGCAAGGACACCAAATGTTTGGTCTTCAGAGAATGACAGAGGAGGAGAGTAAATGAGAAAAAAATTCACATAATTCTCTTCTGTTTTATGTAATGTCATAGACGTTAATTCCGTATTACGACTCTCTCTTGGTATATATATATATATTATATATATATGTTTATTTACACGCACATAATAGGGGGCGAATTTATAGAGCGAGTGAGAAGACACGAGAGATCCGAGGGTGTGAAGAGAGACCTATTTCAGCGGTAAGTGGAGCAGCCGGCAGTGCACGCCGGCAGAATAGGAAGCAGCGTTTTGCGGTACCAGGCAGCGAAAAAGGCCACCGACTCAAAAAGCCACCAGGAGTGGCGGAGAAGCACCTGCGTTCCCGTGCCCACGTCTGTGTGGTAGGTAAAGGCTCCGGCTGCAGGTCCGGGAGCTGCGGTAACGGAGCTGAAACTTCATCGCT